TGGGAAGGTTCCTGTGGTCACTGCCCGCCTGCGACCACCTGCACAAGAACGAAAGCGTGCTCAAGGCCAAGGCGGTGGTCGCCTTTCACCGCGGCAACTTCCGCGAACTTTACAAGATCCTGGAAAGCCACCAGTTCTCGCCGCACAACCACCCTAAGCTGCAGCAACTGTGGCTGAAGGCGCACTACGTGGAGGCCGAGAAGCTGCGCGGACGGCCCCTGGGCGCCGTGGGCAAATATCGGGTGCGCCGAAAATTCCCGCTGCCACGCACCATCTGGGACGGCGAGGAGACCAGCTACTGTTTCAAGGAGAAGTCGCGGGGCGTGCTGCGGGAGTGGTACGCGCACAACCCTTACCCCTCGCCGCGTGAGAAGCGGGAGCTGGCCGAGGCCACCGGCCTCACCACCACCCAGGTCAGCAACTGGTTTAAGAACCGGAGGCAAAGAGACCGGGCAGCCGAGGCTAAGGAAAGGTACGCGGCGTGCTCCCCGCGGCTCGGGCGACCCTCGGAAGCCTTCCTGTACCCCCCCCCCGCCCCTTCCCGCCCCCGCAGGCACCCGCCACCGAATCGGTCCTCCCCGCCGGCGGGAGCCAGTCCATGGGGCGGCGCCCAGGCCTCCGCGGCTGTGCAGTGAAAGTTCATGAACTCTGAGGTTGCTGAGGATGGGGCCTCGTTTGCTTTGAGTACCCGCGCGTGGGTTTCTTTGGGGTGTGAGTGTCGGGAAATGTTGCCACTAGGTTTGTTTTTCTTGCCTCGCTGCCTGGCTGCGGCAAAAAATGGGGGGTGGAGAGTGAGTTTCTAAATCAACGCGAAGGATATCGCTGATTGGCATCGCCAGGAACAGGGTTCGGTGGGAGCCGAGGGTGGCGAACCTCTCCCCTCCGGCTTCCTAGAGGGGTGAGGCTGGCCCGAGACATCTGCACTGCCCTGTCTCCCGGGTTCTTCCCTTGCTCTCTCCTGGTAGTCTTTTGCATGAGAGGTCGCCGGCTTCATTCCGCACTAGCTGGACAAAGGGAGGAGTCTTTAGAAGAAAAACAGCGAGAAGAGCTTTGGGGAGAGTTGGCTCTGCGTTGACTCGCGGGTGCTCCAAGCGCAGAAAGGGCCGATCCCTGCCGCGCTCTCGCGCGTGGCCCGGGCGCCGCAGTCCGGCTGTCCGCGCCGCCGCCCGGGCGGGGGAAGGCGTCTCCAGTGGCAGGTTTCTCTCGCCTTGGAGCTCAGGACGCAATTACAAACACAGAATGAAAAGCCAAGAGAAAAACTAAAACTTGTCCCTGCCTCCCCCCACCTCGCGCCAACACCTTCGGCTACCTGGCCCCGCTCCATCCCTTCGCTGCTGAGTTTCCAACCGCGATTGGGAAGGTCGCGGGGAGGCGGAGGCGAGAGCGCTCCGCGAAGTCCCGGGGTTTCGTGGAAACCTGAGCGCGGGGCCGGCCGGGTTCCTTTGTTCGTTTCCAAGCCCGGGGGCCGAAGGTCTCGCTGTCTCCTTCCCCTCCGGGTGGAAAACCACAGAGCCCGGATACATTCAGCTGAAATGGGTTCTCTGGGGAGAACGCCTGCGAGGCTCGGAGGAGACGGGAGGCGCTAGGAGTGGGCAGGACTGGCGAGCTCTTGGAAGGCGGAAGCGGCGAGGGCTCGAAGTCCTGGCGTGAACAGGACCGAGGACCGGGACCCACGCTCCCGCGCGCCGCAGCCTGTGTGCCACCGCCGAGCTTCCCTTGCCCGGAAAGGGTGATTGGGTGGAGGTTGGTGGGGAGTCTGAGAGGAGACCCAGAGGGGTTGAGGAGTCCGCGAGTCACACAGGAACAGGGATCGCACGGTTCCAGTTAGCCTTTAGTTACAAAACGGCCGTCCTCAGAGCCAGGCCGGAGGGCCCATCCCTTATGAAATCAGAGGGACTGGCTGCGCTCCCTGTGTTTACTCAGGTCACTGGGCCGCCCTGGGCACCACTTCCCATGACCTGTCCTGTGTCTCGGAAACCACTAACTCTGGGAAGAAGCAGGGAGACTCGATGTGTCATTGTTTCCTCATATGCGAACAAGGCAATTGACTTGACTCACCCCAAACACTTGTGCATTGGGTGCCGTGTGTCCCCCGATCACTTCTTTATCGCCAACAACCACTTATCGGAAGGTTTTTAAACTTAACTGACATCTGAAAATGGTGCTAGTAACCGCCTGAACAAAATTTCAACACATCTTTTATTTGTTTCAAATAGACCCTGCTCATGTGGCTTCCTGAAATCTGGACGAGAAAGGGACCCGGCTGGGAACAGCAGGCTCTGTCCCTAGCTCTCCACTTCTTCAGTCTCCTCACCTCCCCCATGGCCCTTGGGGATGGGTGGAAGGGTAGAGTCCTCCATTTGGGTTGGTGACAGATTGCACAATGGCCCCTGTCCTCCCTTCCAGCTCCCCTCCCTCCATTTCACACTTTTTTTTAACCTTTTTTTTTTTTTTTTTAACCATATGGTGTTGTCCTCTATTTCTTAGGGAGAACACCGAAAACAATAACTCCTCCTCCAACAAGCAGAATCAACTCTCTCCTTTGGAAGGAGGCAAGCCGCTCATGTCCAGCTCAGAAGAGGAATTCTCACCTCCCCAAAGCCCTGACCAGAACTCGGTCCTTCTGCTGCAGAGCAATATGGGCCACGCCAGGAGCTCAAACTATTCTCTCCCCGGCTTAACCGCCTCACAGCCCAGCCACGGCCTGCAGGCCCACCAGCATCAGCTCCAGGACTCTCTGCTCGGCCCCCTCACCTCCAGTCTGGTGGACTTGGGGTCCTAAGTGGGTTGGGACTGGGGCCTCGAAGGGATGGCTGGAGCAGCAACCACTGCAGCGACTAGGGACACTTGTACATAGAAATCAGGAACATTTTTGCAGCTTGTTTCTGGGGTTCTTTGCGCATAAAGGAATGGTGAACTTTCACAAATATCTTTTTAAAAACCAAAACCAACAGCTATCTCAAGCTTAGTCTCCCTCTTCTCTCCAACTCTTTCCACTTTTGCATTTCACCTCCCAGTGCAGAGATCAGGGGGAAAAAAAAACCCAAACAAACAAATGCACCCAGTCGTCACCCAGTCTTGGTTCTGGGCAACTGTTGTGTCTGCTTCGGTTGCCTTTCTTTTTATTTCAGTGAACAGGAATTACAAGTGAACTGGATTTTAATTATGTCTTTTAAATTTATTTATGGAGAAATGTTTGGGGAAGAGAAAAAGGAAATGGAGAGAGGGAGAGAGAGAGAGATGGATATGAAAATAGTGAAAACAAGAGCCTTCAGCCGGAGAGGAACAGATTGCATCCTTATGGTGAATAGGAAAAATATAATCTTATAATTTTTTGATGAGGAAAAATTAAGTTTACATTTTTCATATTTAGTGTTAAACAATTTTATGTAGATGAAAATAAAAGGACAGTATTAGGAGGAAAAAACAAGTGCCTAAATGTCTTAATGCTCTCTATGTGAGGCAGTTAGAAATAGAAGTGACCATTAGTAACACAACTATTTTTGTCAAATTTAGTGGGGATTTTTGGTTGTTGTTTGTTTTCTTGGGTTTTTTTTTAAATGACAATCTCTAAAAATGTACCAATGTGAAAAAACACTTTCCTGAATGCCATTACGTCTCATGCCCTGAGAGCTTTCATATTTGTAACCTACTCCTGTTAAGGGTTTCTCTTGTTCCTAGTTTCTAGCTTGCAAAAGTATGCCGGCAAATCTGGCAACTTGGTATTTGTTACTAAAACAGCATGTGTTTTCAGGTTTCTTTTCTATTGTACCTAAACCTGTCTAAATTAAAACTTAGTAGAACACCAGGAGTATGATTCTGTTTCTGAAAGGTGAGTTGTGTATTGCTGTCATTGGGCCTTATTTTTTTAAAAATAGTTTTTCCCTTCTTTCTTAATGGTGGCTATGAATTGCAGGGTACTTTGAAGGCCATCATCTGAACCACAAGTAGTAACTAGTTTGATTATATGACAAAAAAAGAATGATTTTAGCCTTTGGGGTATTTATTTATTTTTATTATTTAGATATATAGTTTTGTTTACCACTAGCTCTCCTCCACAGCATTCATATGTTAACTAAGCTCTTTTGTGTTAACAAGTTTATGACAAGACTGTGAAAGTAAAAATAATTTATTTGCCTGGAAAAGAGAGAGAGAGAGAGAGAGAGAGAGAAAACGTGAACAAGGATAGCAACATTGTGAATTAATTTGTACAAATAGAAAGCAGACCACAGGACAGGAGCTCTTTTGCAGTGCTGCCGGATAGTCCAGAAAAATCCCAGCAATCGTGTAGGCTCCATATTATTTTTGCCTGGGGCAAAGTGATGTATCTTCTGTATTTAGCTTTTAAAATTAGTGAAACAAATGGCATTATTTATTAAAATTCTACTCAGGATAACAGGATTGGCTTGCTTGTGCTTTGTAAAATATTGTTCCCCAGGGAGAGTCTATTTACTTTCTGACATGAGAGTTTCATAATTTTGATTTTACCCCATCTATAATCACCATTAATATTCGATCTCTTTCTTACTCTTTCCTCTTCTGGTCAAGAAAACTGAGGTTTGTGTGGGAAATCAAGACCTTCTTACTGCGGGCTTTTTTTTTAACTGTCAAATGGCTTTGACTGAATTCAAGGAAGAAGTGGTCACTGTACTTAACTGTAGTCACTTTTACTTATAAAGTCATTGTTCCCCTCAGTGATGGACAGATGTGCACACAGCTGCTTGGAGACCATCATTTGGGTTGGGAGCTCAGGGTCCCGATCTCCCTTGTTAGTGTTTTGGATCATTAAGTCGGTGTTTATTTAAGTCACTAGGGTGTTTATTCTCCCTGTCTTGGGCCACGGAGAAATGCCACCCTCTGCAGGAGGGGCTCTCACAGGGAATCTCCGCACATTCTTCACATTCACTCCCCAAAACAAACACCCTGCACAAAGATAGCTTTCAATGACCCTGACAGGCTTCAAAGGACGCCGCGGAAATCTCTCTGGAAAATAAGGAAGGGCCAATTACTTTAATTTCTTACATGCCCTCTGTTCCTACTCCGGTGACTACCCCCCACTCTTTCAGCTCCGCTTGGCATAATTTTAGACTCGTGGAAGTTCTGTCTCCCGGGGCGCCCCGGCCCACTTCCTGCTCCCTCGGTTGGTGAATCTTGGAAATGTCTGCAGATCTGGCGAGTAGCAAGAGGGCCAGTCCTGTAAAAGCTCCCGTGATTACTGCTTGTAAACTCGTTAAAAAGGACAATTTTCTGTCACAGCCATAAACTCTTTGTAAAATCCCTGGCACTAGATGCAGAGCGCGCATATTCCAGATGTGTTTAATAAGAAATTGCACAATATGCCTCCTTCCACCATCCACGGCTTGGTCTGGCTAGGAAGGGGACAGGCAGGAGGAGGTGAGAAGGCTGGCTATTGCTGTGAGTTGTTTTGGCAATCATTTGAGAGTGATCATTAGGGGAAACTAACCATATTTTTTTTTCCCTCGAGGAAGTCTTCGAAAACCAGCTGTTCAGGGACCTCCAATGTACCTTCTCGGCGTTGCAGTTTAACTGAATACAAAGCCACTTTTCGTTTCTTCTCTACAGATGTCATAACGTTAGCCAAAAGCAATGAACAACGGCTTATAAATAAAGTGATTTTAGGACGAAACCTTACAGCATTTTGCCAAGTGAAATGAAAAAAAAAAAAAGCTCCCAAAACTTGGGTGATTTTAATTTTTTACGCGTTTCAATCTGAACACACGATTGCTCGGGTCTCCACTGCCTGCTCGTTTTGACCTCTTGGCTGAGAACGAAGCTTCCTAAATTCTCAGGGGCCAAGAGCCTTGGCCCGAAGTTCTCGAGTTTTTAGCTTAGTAGGTAGGGAGCCCCGCGGGCTAGGGGCTCGGAGAAAGGAGCCGCTGAGGCCGGACACCACCGGTCTTGAACCTGTTTTCTGGGCAAGGACAGCTTGGTCTTGACCCGGAGTCGGAGTGGAAGCTCCCAGGAAGAGGCAGTGGCATTGGCACTTGTGGGCGAGCCTCGAGTTTGCTGAGCAGTGACTCCTGTTCCGCTGCGCTCCCTGGTGCGCTGGGAGCCGACCAGGCACCTGGCACCGAACCCGCGCGCAGCGGCCTCTCTGGGCTCTGTGGCCGCTGCGCTGTCGCTGCTGCAGCGGCCGCGGCTGAAGCTGGAGGGGGCTTCACTTCTATTGCCTCCCCCCTTTGCAGGTCCCTGGCAAAGTTTGCAGTCAGGACTCCAGAGATCCAGAGACTCGGATTCGCGCTTCCCTGGCTGCAGAGAACTGGTGATCTTCCGCCACCCGTAGACGCCGGAGGCCATTCTTGCCACCGGGTCCTCCGGAGGCACGGGAAGCCCGGGCGCCGTAGCTCTCTGCTCCCTGTCCGGGCAGAGTCTTTCCTTCACCGGTTCAGAAAGAACCGTGAGCGGCTCTGGACCCGGATCCTAGCGCAGCTCCAGGCGCCCAGCCTCATGACCCGGCCCGCGGAGTCCCTGCGAGCAGAGGCTGCCGGGCGGGCCTCACAGGCACGGGAAGAGGCCTCGGCCTGAGTTTCGCGGAACAACGCAGCTGTCGTCGTCTCGGGTACCCCAAGGCCACCTTCCAGGCCCAAGTCCCGGCCGCCCTCCCACAGTCTGAGCCCGGGGTGAGGCACGTGAACGGCGCCGCACGCACGACTGCGGCCCTGCGGTGCGGGACCAGGCCGGCCTGGCGACGCGCGGCTCCCCTGCCCGGCTGCAGGTGCCAGCGCTCCCGGGTTCCCAGACACCGCGCCTCCGGCTGGGGGCAGCCGGCTGGGGCCTTGGAGCCTGGTGGGGAGGCGGCCTGGGCCCTGCTGCCCACGCACCGCAGCCCTTACAGCTGCTGACGCCGCCTGTCTCCTCTTCGTGGGGCCTTGGCTTTCGGACCCGACCTTTCCACCCGCGCACGCGGCGCAGGGGTGCCAGCCCCTTCCCAGGCTTGTCGCTAGAAATTCCCGGGCCAGGGAAAGGGGTCCTGGCTTCTCTGTTTTCAGCGGGACCGGGCGGCATCTCCGCTTCCTCGATGGGACCAGGTCAGGCGTTTCTTCCTCGCCTGCGGCCCTAGGACGAGCTTCGGCCTTTCCTCCACGCCCAGCCCGGGCCCCAGGGGAGGCCCCGGCCGAGGCCTGCTGCGCGCTTCGGTCAGGCTGTCGCGGTGCACATCCAGCCCCTATCTGATGGGGCGAGTGGCGTTGATAGGGACGGGTTAAGGCAAGAGAGGTCGCTGATGGCCCGCGTGCGCTCTCCGCGCCATTTCTCCTTATCCCGAGGTTTCCCCAGGAGAAGATTTTTAGACACTCTCCTAAACTATCTCCTTCAGCCGCCCGAGGCCGGCGGAACCAATGTTGGTGCCCACCTCGCACTCAAGAGCAGTTCACACCGTGGGCACCCGAGGGCTCAGTCCCACAGCCTGCGTGCCTGGGGCGCGACCTTAGCCAGGTGGGGACTTCTGAGCCTCTTAAGGTCATAGAGACCCTTCCCTCGTTCTTTGTGAATCTAGGGACTCCACCTTGAAGAGTCTCTAGAGGGGATGGGTTAGATAAGAGATGCGAGAGCCAGCCAGGAACAAAAATAATCAAAATCCTGGGCGAATCATTGGCTATTCATTTCCCCAGAAAAAGCGCTGTCCTGGAAAGGCCGCATTTTTTCCAGTGTTTTAAACCAAGTACACACACACACAACTTCGTTCCAGCTGATGAAATTGGAAACCTGTTCTCCCACTGAGGATGACAATCAGGGTTTTAGACGCTGTGGTCCTTTCAGACAGCGAGAAAAAACACTGCAGTAGCATTTAAAAACAAAGAGAAAGAGACTGCTTGAGGCGCGTGGACGCCTGTCTCTTCCCCAATCCGAGTTTAAGCTTCTCTCCTTTTAACTTGTTAATGGACAGCTGGGACCCCAGTTCTCAGCAGGTAGAGCACAATCACCTTAAGGCTTGCTTCCTCCTTCCGCTTTGCGACCTAGGACTCTTCCCCTCTCCTTTTGGGAAAGTGCTCACTAACTGCTTTCCTTTGCCATCATGATAAATATTCTTAAAATTACATTTTTTTGGTGTGTGCGATCAAGCAGAAAAGAAACAAACACAAACAAAAACCTAAAAACCCAAACCCAAACAATCTTATCTTTGAAAGCAAAAAAGTTTACAGATTTAACACACTTAGGCATCCCTGAAGTGGCCACCCAACTGTAATTAAACTACTCCTAGGTGATCTTGGGTACTCTTCACTACCGTAAGTGATTGCCATTAAAAAGATAAATAAGTAGACAGGTAGATTCCGGCCTTTTACTTTCTAGAACTATAATAAGGCATGAGAATGTGTATCTCCTTCCTTCATCTAGTTCCCTGTCCTTTCCACCCCCTAACCTGGAAGATATTTTATGAGACTGACCTAGGCAGACCCAAGTAGAAACACTCAAAGACTAATGCAAAGCAAATTTATTTTAATTTGCTAGATAATTTGTTTTAATTTGGGATTTTAAATTGATTATAGCTTTTAAAATACCATGGCTTATTTATAACAGAAAAATTTTGGGGGAGGGCAGTGAGGAGTGGGTAATGGTTCAGGACCTTCAGCTGATATGCACATGGGCTCTTACAGGAAAAAACAGTCCTAGACTACATATTTTTTACTGACATGAGCCATTAAATGAAGTGTCTGAGGATCCGTAAAGAATATTGAAATGTTCTTTAACATTTCATAGAGCTGGTGAGTCAGTCCCCTTGATAGAAAATCTGCAGATTCTAGCCAGGATGCCTGTAAAATCAACTTTCTAGATGTTCTTTTCTTGTTATTAAGTATTTCCACATACTCACCTACGTTCTCCTTTTCTTTTTCTTTTTTTTCCCCCTTAAGGCAAGACTTTAGCTACTTTGCAGTTCTTCAGTTCTAATTTGACTTGGTCTAAATACCAGGAAAAGGCAATAGGGGTTGTGAACACACCTCTCCCCAAGAAGCACCTACCAAGCTGAACATGCAGATTAATATTCTATTAAACTGTAAACATTTGTATGTAGTGATGTCCCACCTAAATTTTGCAGTTTTCTTTTTTTCTTGTAGAAGTGGTGGGGACTGGTGTGGTTGGTGGAAGGGAACAGAAGCTTACAGTGCTTGTAGAGAAAATGCACATTTTATGGGTGCCATGGCAGTCTGCAATACTTTGCAAAAGGTAACTTTGCCTCTGTGTCTAGCAGGTAGTTACAAGGAAGACAGCATTAGCTCTGTATTTATTTAAAATACCTCAGAGATGAAAAGAAGGAAACAAGTTTTTAAAAAATTAAGCTAGATAGAAGATCAACGTGCCTAAATATCTATGATGTGAAAAGAACATTTAAACAATTGAAGCTTTGTCTGTCTTCAGATATGTGTGGTGAATATTTTCTA